GTATCTGAGACTGTCACTGGGACCAAGCTGGGCTCTAGCCTTCAGTGAGCACAACTGACAGCCTGGTTGGTTGCAATATTTCCATGCCAGTGGTTTGGGACCTTGCAGTGTAGTAGATTCCTGGGCACTGGCCAGACCTATTGAACTAGAACCTCCACGGGCATCATCAAACATCTCTATATTGTTTCCTAGCCCTGCTTCTTCTTTTGGGAGCACTTTCACACCTCCACCTGCTTAAGGAAACCTCTACTATTGGTGCTTCAAATCAAAGCTTCAGGAGCAAACTTGCTCAGTGGACACAGGGTCAGTTTATTGAAGGAAAGAAAGTGGAGAGAGGAAACTCAAGTTCAAGCAAGCATTTTAAGGAATATCTGCTGTCAGGCAGTTGAAGGAGGAAAGGGAAAAGAACAGAAATAGGAAAGGGGCAGAATAACAGGTGGCCCTGGAGATAAAAGAAGACTATTTCAAAGCAAGTTTGGATCATAATGTCAAAAGCTTCCAAGGTCATTTGTTCATCAGAATGTCTTTTTAACCTTTAGGCTTACCGTAGAGTAAGCCCTGGTTATTTTGCTACCATCCACTTGATACAGATACTTAAATAACCTAACAGAAACTGGCAGGAAGTGGGAGCTGGAAATTCTCATTTTTTTTTATGGGCTTAACTATTTATAAAATCCTTCAACAGCCGGGCTCAGTGGTTCAGCCTGTAATCCCGCGTTTTGGGAGGCTGAGATGAGTGGATTGCCTGAGCCCATGGGTTCGAGACCTGCCTGGGCAACTTGGCGAGACCTCATCTCTACAATAAATCAAAAAATTAGCCAGGCGTGGTAGCGCATGCCTGTAGTTCCAGCTACTTGGAAGGCTGAGGCGGAAGGATCACCAAAGTCCAGCAGGTCGAGGCTGCGGTGGCCGGGAGTGTGCCACTGTACTCCAGTCTGGGTGAAGGAGTGAGACTCCAACTCAAAAAAAAAAAAAAAAAAAAATCCTTCATCAAATCAGTGACTGTCCTGAGTTGCCCCCACTGCCAATACCTTCTCCACCTAGCAGCCAGAATGGTCTTTCTATAGTGTCACTTTTCTGCTTAAAACCTTTCAACGATTTCTTTTCATTGAGCTACAAATAATACTCAAATTCCCAAAGGCCTTCGAGGCTCCACATGATTTGGACCTCATTCACCTTACACACACATGCTATGCTACCAGCCATGCTGCCCTCATGTCATTTCCTAAAACTCACCAAGCTTGTTCTTTGCTTGCGAAGCTCTTGGCCTGGCTCTTGTCTTCCCTTATATATCATCTTGGAAGTCACTTTTATGACCACTCTATCCAAACAGGCAACCCTTCTATCAGTCACTACTATAACATCCCTTTACTTACTTCATGTCCATCAACACAATCTGCAATTATTCTAGTCAGTTCTCTACTTTTTTGTTTTACTGCTTGTCTCTCCCATTAAACTTTAAGCTTCGTGAGGAAAGGGATGTTTTAGATTCACTGCTGTGTCCCCAGGGTACACAGAACCTGGCATATAATAAATGCTCAAGACATGAACAGACACTTCTCAAAAGAAGATATATGGGCAGCCAACAGACACATGAAAAAGTGCTCAGCCTCACTCATCATCAGAGAAATGCAAATCAAAACCACACTGAGACACCACCTAACCCCAGTAAGAATGGCCATCATTAATAAAACAACAACGGATGCTGGTGAGGATGTGGAGAAAAAGGAACGCTTCTACACTGCTGGTGGGAATGCAAACTAGTGCAACCTCTTTGGAAGACAGTGTGGTGATTTCTGAAAGAACTAGAAATTGACCTTCCATATGACCCAGCAACTCCCCTTTTGGGAATATACCCAGAGGAACTCAAATCATTCTACAAAAAAGATACCTGTACACGTATGTTTGTAGCAGCTCTATTCACAATAGCAAAAACATGGAACCAACCATGCTGCCTGAATAAAAAAAAAAAAAGCTGGACTGAATAAAAAAAAAAATGTGGCACATATACACAATGGAGTACTATGCAGTCATAAAGGAGGATAAACATATGAACTTGGATGGATTTAGAGTCTATCATACTCAGTGATCTATCACAGAAACAAAGAACAAAGCACCATATGTTCTCACACACAAGCAGACCTTGAATAATTATAATACTATAAGAAAGGGATTGGCAGTAGTGAGAAACTGTCAGGGGAGGGGGTGGTGGGATTGGCAGCTGAGGGAAATTGCTAGGGTAGAGAGGGACACACCTCATCAATAAGGGTACCTGCACAATCAACGTTTGTATACCTAACCCTGAATTGTACCCCACATCTTTATAATAAATAAATAAGTAGATAGATAGATACTTGTTCAACAAGTAATTGAATGACTGCATTATCCAAAGCAAGTCACTGATTCATTCATCCACACACTCAGCAAATATTTATCGAGTAGATACATTTGCTAGCCTCTAGGGACATAGTTAGAGGACAAGACAGACAAAATCTGCAAGTAGCCCAGAACAAAGAAAAAGGACAATGCTTATGTCTAGGCTAACTCTATAACTTACTTATCCACAAATCCATTTTTATTTAATTATGTGACAGACTTCATGTTAGTAAACTTAGTGCCACCAAATAACCAAGTCATATCATACCTGCTTCTGGATGAACTAAAGCACAGAGAGCAAGGAAGAAACAAGGGTAAGAATACAATAAATAAGGGAAAGAAGAATACTAGCAGGTAGTACAGTGATGTCACTATTCTCTGCAAGCTGATAGAAATTGTCTTTCTCATTCAACACTTAGAGCATAAGGCAATATTATAATCACAATACATTTTTAAAAAAACATAGCAAAAATATTTATCCAAGTGAGTATACTATTTCTCTTTTCTTTTTTTTTTTGAGTTGGAGTCTCACTCTGTCACCCAGACTGGAGTGCAGTGGCCGCTCCCGGCCACCGCAGCCTCGACCTGCTGGGCTCTGGCGATCGTTCCGCCTCAGCCTTCCAAGTAGCTGGGACTATATGCATGCACTACCACACGCGGCTAGTTTTTTTTTTTTATTGTAGAGATGAGGTCTCACCAAGTTGTCCAGGCGGGTCTCGAACCCACGGGCTCAGGCAATTCACTCACCTCATCCTCCCAAGGCGTCGGATTACAGGCTGAGCCACCGAGCCCGGCTGAGTATACTATTTCAAAAAATGTTCTATATTTATTCATTAATGTTACTAAACCTTAAAATATTCATAAAACATCCTTCTTCAAACTGCAACTAGAGATAATTTATTAAGTATAGGGAAATGCAAATTAAAACCACAATGAGAGACCACCTTACAACAGTCAGAATGGACATTATTAAAAATCAAAAAAACAATAGGTGCTGGTGTGGATGTGGATCAAAGGGAATGCTTATACATTGTTGGTGAGAGTGAAAATTAGTGCAACCTCTATGAAAATCGATATGGAGATTTCTCAAAGAACTAAAGTCTATCATTTGATCAAGCAATCCCACCCCTTAGTATCTACCCAAAGGAACAGAAGTCGTTACACAAAGACTTTTTTTTTGAATTTTTATCACAGCACAATTCACAATTGCAAAGATGTAGAATCAAACTAAATGTCTATTAACTGATCAGTGGATAATAAAAATGTGGGGGGAGGTGTGTATGTGTATATATATATTCATCTATTTAAAAAATCTAATAATGTCTTTTGCAGTAACTTGGATGATATTGGAGAACATCCTCCTATGTGAATTAAAGCAGGAACAGAAAACTAAACACCACATGTTCTCACTTATAAGTGAGAGCTACGAAGGCATAGAGAATGGAATAATGGACACTGGAGACTCAGGAGGGGGAGGAGAGAAAGGGATAGAGGGATGACATATCACCTGTTGAGTATGATGTGCACAGGTGGGGGTAGTGAGTACCCTTAAAGCCCAGACTTCTTTGCATCTACACAATGCATTCATGTGTATGAACTCTTCATATCCCTAAAACTACTGACCTTAGGAAAAAAAAAAAAAATTCCTGCCCTTATGGAACTTGTATTATTATGGAATATAATATTTCTATCAATAAATGCAAATGGGATAATCTCTTATATTAAAGACTCTTAGATTTTTAAAACCAATGAAACAAAAAAACAAAATTTGTGCTGTACATCAGATAGACATTTAAAACAAAAGCATTCAGAAAGAATGGGCAAATAAATAGTAGACAAAAGAAACTAAGAAAACAAGATTAAGATACTAATTACAATAAGGTTAATTGAAAGACAAATTAACTGAACAAAAATATCTGGAAGGCAGAAACAATGTGCTCCTTAGCATCCTTGATATCATCTAAGGAGGTATCTTTGCATGTGGAAAGCTCTCCAACAGATATGCTGATAGAAACAGAGAGAAGAAAAGTAATAGTCAATAAAAGGGAACAATGATATAAAAAGATAATTTTCTGATGGAAAATTATAGAATCCACCAATCACTGACCCAGGTGCAATTTAGTAGTATAAGTATCAAACATGGTCTGATTTTTTTTTTTAATAAAAAATGTGACACAAAAAGCAAGTTTGGTTCCATTCCTACTTTCACTAACTGTGCAACTTTTTTTTTTTTTTGAGTTGGAGTCTCACTCTGTCGCCCAGACTGAAGTGCAGTGGC